TCAGATATGTTTGTGATAAACTTCATGGTGTGCACAGCTCTGATAAACAGCAAGGTATTAAAGAAACCAGGACCACACCTGACACGTCTTCTACATTAGGAAAAGAGCTGCTAATTCTGTTTGATCAGTTTTTATGTTTCACAGGCATGTTAAGGAAATACAAATGTTAGAATTTCTATTTCTTTTCACTCGACAAGTTTGAGCATTTTGAAGCAATTTTGCTTTTGCCGACCCTAATTTAAAAAAAAATTTTTCCGTGAACTTCAAAGGTAATCACCAAAGATCACCCGACTCAAAAGGATTTCATTCTGCTGATGTGAAAGCTGCACTTGAGAAGAGGGATTGTGAATGTCCCTCATAGTGCTGTGTGCACCTATTAAAATGTGTCTGTAGCTCAGAGGGTTGAAAGGCTGGCTTCAAGTGTTTGTCCAGATAGGAAACAGTATCCTTGATGATATATTTTACCCCCACCCCAAAAAAAGTGTATGCAGATGAAAAAGTGAAGTCTCTTTTTAACCAAATTACCTGCTAAAAATAATAATTTAAATTCTACAGCTTATATCTTCTATTAAATGTTAGTCTATAATATTTAAATTGGCAGCATTTTTTAAAGGTTTCTACCCAAAAAAGCTTCAAATAAATCATGAGTGCAGGTGAGTGCATCATCTTCATAAATATTCTCTTTTCAACCAAAACTGTCATGGTCCTGGGTCGGTGACCCAGCGCTTTAAGTTTATTATTATTATCATTTTCCAATTTATTGGAACCCCGTCTGTTTGTGAATCTGTCTGTTTAGTTCAATGTCTTGTCTGGTTCCATGTGTCTGAGTTTCCTGTTTTATTGTGAAGGTCTGTGTCGTATGTGAGTGTGCTCAGCTTACGTTTCCCCTGTCTCGTCAGCTGTGATTTCTCCCCAGTGTGTTCCCCTCCTGTCTCTCATCCCTTGATTACTGCCATCTGTGTATTTAAGCCCTGTGTTTCTTCGTGTCAGTGTCGCGTCGTACCCTCAACTTGCTGTGTGTTTGTAATGTCCTGTCCTCCAGCACCTCGGTTTAGAGTTTTATTTTTGTAAGTTTTATTTCGTGAATCTTTCCTCCAGCAATAAAGCTGCGTTTTCAGTTTATTCCCATCTCCAAGAGTCCTGCAATTTTGGGTCCACCACTTCTGCTTGCCTGCCACACAGCCAACCATGACAAACCTAAAAGCTTTAAAGTCCAGCTCATCAGTGAGACACACTCACAGTGCTGGATGTATCTGTGATGTCAGGCACTGGGTCAGTGTGGCTACTTCACTGATATATTCATAACAGTGAAGTACTTTATTTATCATCAGTCTTACACATGCTGAATATCACAATACATAGCAGCACATCTAAAATACTGCCCATCAGGTAAACTATTCATTACTATGCACGTCACAGGAAACACATCGTATAGTATGTTACAAATACAATTTTAACATTGACCTTAAAAAAGTCCTGATATGACAGCAGCAAAGTCATAAAACTTTCTGTTTTTAAAGCAAAGAAAATATTTAAATATTTGTCAGCCAATTTCATTATGATAGCAGTTTTATTTCCCAGATTCTCTTCTTTCTAATCACCCAGCTCTGTGTAATTAAGAGCTACTCTGTCATTTAGAAAATGTCCCTTAGTCATTACCTTGATTATCTAACCTCCTGGCTTCTGCTAGTCCACAATTAGTACTTACTGTACATTAACATTAGGTGAAAATGAGTTATGTTTGATCAAAAAGAGAAAAAAAAAACTACAGTATTGGACAGTTTTTGGCTCTTCCCTTACAGTGGGACAAAAAAGTATTTAGAAAATCTGTGGCGGGAGTTGAAAGTCCGTGTTGCTCGGCGACAGCCCCAAAACATCACTGCTCTCG